ACTATACTGCGCAGTTGAAAGAATCAAAAACAAATAATGCGCATGCGTGAAATTAAAAATGGCGACAATTTACCCATCGCACCATATATATATATATATATATATATATATATATATATATATATATATAGGAAAGAACCGTTAGTTTAATAATCCAAAGTTGAGCCTAAATCATAATTATTTTTTAAAATATGATTCCATCGCTACATAAGTGTTGTCATGTTTCAAAAGCAAAAGCTAAAAAACAGTTCTGTATCATCCTCAATCGGATTTTTGGAATCAAATTCCAAAAATTCGCTTGAGGATGAAACAGAAGCATTCTCATCGCCATCCATTTATACGAGTAGGTTATTCGCTGTTTCTCCTAGTTACTCTTGCTATCACGATGTCACGTGTCAAAATCAAGTCTGATCATTTCAATAAGGTAAAATTGGCAGCTAATTAAAAAAAAATGACCTATAAAGTGTTGTTAAATGGGGCAAGGAATGACTTGGTAATTTCAACGCCTCCAAAACGAAATCTCTCAATGATTTGAGGTACTTTTTTCTGCCTTCCATCAACATGGCTGATGCTAACCTCTAGGAGAGTGATTCGTTGCGCCTTCTCGGGTTAACATGAAGTGGAAAGTTTATACTGAATCAATTGCTAAGTTTGCTGCTAATAAATTTGGTTCACTGTGTCGTGCTGAACAATTTTCTCTTCAGAATCTATCTTATATATTCATAAGTCTACCATTCGGCCATGCTTTGAATATCGCTGCCATATCTGGTCTGGTGGTACTGTTATATATTTAGAGATTCTTGATAAAATCCAAAGAAGTATCTTTAATATTATTGGTTCTGACCTGGCGTCTCGACATCACTCACTTTCCCACCGCCTAATGTTGCTTCCCCGTGCCTTTCTTTTTTATAGATACTTTCATGATAATTGTTCGGACGAGCTCTCCGCTATGGTACCTAAACATTTAACATAAAATGAATGTAAGCGCAGTACTAGATTGGCGACTAGGTCTCATCAATCTACAGTTTAATTGGCTAGATGTAGCCGCAAGTTCTATGCTAACAGTTTCTTTTCTCGTGTTTCTCTCTTGTGGAACTCTCTTATGTGTCCTTGCTTTCCCTGCAACTTTGATCTTCAAAAGTGTAAATGCAATGTCAATCGTTATATACTGTCTTCTTGATGAACCGTCTTTTATTGGTCTCACTCCTTTTTCCTTTTGTTTCTTATTCTTTCATATTCAGTAACTCGTTGTGTCTTAGTGGCTTTATTGCCTCGCTTCGGGTGAAATTATTATAAAAAAAAATTACGTCTTCTTTTCTTGTTATGTTGCCCAGAAATTTCAACTGTCTCTTTCTGATTGTAAGTATTTGTGACCTTTTTTCGTTTCTATTTACCTTAAAAAGACCTTGATCCATCCTTGATATTCACAGCATTCTCCTGTAGAACCAGATCTCTGTTTTCTCGAGTCTTTCCTTCTTTTATGTAGAAAAAGTCCATCATTCACTTCTACAGTGGAGGATGGTGGTTACATAGCAGTTTAGTTTTCTTTTCTTTGTTTCTAACGAAATTATCCTGTTTCTTGATACTTTGCTTAGTTTAGAGAGGTATCTTTTTCTATACCGAGGTATCTTCGGATTTCGGTTTTACTCTTTCCGTCATCTCTTAAAACACTTCCCCGATATCTAAAGTTCTGTACTTATTTGATTCTGACATTTCCTATTCGTAGTTCGTATCGTGATTTAATGTTAAGAAATAATCTCTCTGCATAGCAAACTCGGGGATTTCCTTTCTACACCGTGTTATATAGTAATATCAAATCATGTGAATTCGATTAATACGAGAGTTTGGTGAGAGATATAATCAGTCAAAATCGAAGCTTGTTTCCCTCTCAAAACTGGCCACGGCTTTCCCACTGAACTGACCTCATTGAATAAGTGGAAAAATAAACAGTTAAATGAATTGACTGACAGTTGGGATCAAATAAGAGCGAAACTAACATGACAGACACAGCGAAAGACAAATAATATATTTAGTTATACACTGTACGGTACTACTACAGTATGATATCTACTGTTCATTATCTACTATGGTATGATATCCACTATTCATCTTCTATTATAGTATGATATCAACTATTCGTTTTCTATTATAGTATGATATCCACTTTTTTCTATTATAGTATGATATCCATTATTCGTTTCCTATTATAGTATGATATCTACTATTCATTTTCTGTTATAGTATAATATCCACTATTCGTTTCCTGTTATAGTATGATATCTACTATGCATTTTCTATTATAGTATGATATCTACTATCCATTTTTTGTTATAGTATGATATCAAATATTCGTTTTCTATTATAGTATGATATCTACTATTTATTTTATGTTATAGTATGATATCTACTATTCGTTTTCTATTATAGTATGATATCTACTATTCATTTCATGTTATAGAATGATATCTACTATTCATTTTCTGTTATAGTATGATATCTACTATTCATTTTCTATTATAGGATGATATCTACTATTCATTTTTTGTTATAGTATGAAATCCACTATTCGTTTTCTATTATAGTATGATATCTACTACTCGTTTTCTATTATAGTATGATATCAACTATTCATTTTCTATTATAATATGATATCCACTATTCGTTTTCTACTATGGTTGGATATCTGCTATTCATTTTCTACAATATGATATCTACTTTTCATTTTCTACTAAATTATGATATCTACTATTTATTTTCTACTATAGTATGATATCTAGCATCTATTTTGTACTATGGTATGATATTTACCAACTGTTGGTAGTATGAAATATGTTAAAACCATTGATGGAGCATAATAAACAGTTTGTAATGTAAAATTTACACCAGTCAGTTATAATATAAAGTGACTTTCCACTAAAAGTTACTATCGTACTCATGGAAATTTCGTGAACAAAATAATACAATAATTCTAAAATTTCACGCATTTTGTAATGGAATTACATAATTAGATAAATACACCACTCTTTAGCTTAAAATAACACTATGTAGTTTGAGGAATCAATAGCTGTAAGCCGAAAGTGGGTTGTTTGGTATAATGCATCATCATTTATGGTAGGTTGCAAATGTCTTGGTAGATATCATATTATTGTGGCACTCATTTTAGGAAAATACATTAACCTTTAGCACTCTGCATTATTAATATTACTTCCCTTTCCATGGCATTCTTTTTCAAAACCCCTAAATTGCAGTAACTTTTTTGTTATTTTCACGCGGTATTTTCTGTTGCCATAGCAGGATATGACAACACAACTATGAAATTCAAATACACTATTGTTTAGGGATCACCTTCAGTTGCAGGATAAACATTTTTCATGGCAAATGAAGTCACATAAGGAGCGATAAACGTTAAAGAACTTTTGGCAAAGTTTAACAAACGTACTCGCAAAAGAAATATCAATGTCTCAAAATCATGACTTTTCTCTTGACGCCTCTATTACTTTCAACTTCCTCCGTAATCCTTTATTGTCTTAAAACGTTATTTTAGAAGTTTAATAAAACCCAAGCATAACGGGTGTAACAGTAAAGTTGTCCAAATCTTGTAACTGCATGCGATAATTGTCCATCCCACAAAATGTTTAATATCTAAAAAAAACACTAAACTAGTTGAGATTATTTTTTTCCAAGTTTTCAGATAAGACGGTTAGCCATCCTGACACCATCTGTCGTAAAAATCACTGAAAAAAAACTTTTAGTTATTCAGCTAGAAAGAGAACAGATTAAGATCATTTTGTGTCTTTCTGAGCAATGATGAGAGGAAAAAGATTATTCAAACCTTCATTAATGGTACCAACATTCATACTCTGGTTTTCCACCTTCAAGGTCTGTTCCAGAATCTTCAATAGAAAAGTGAATAATTTTAAAAAAGAGGGAACAGTAGACAAGAAAACTGGATCAGGAGGTTACAACAGGAAGAGGGGTCATCATTTCAACTTAGAGCTAAATACATTCTTATTGCTCAAAGTAGAGTCCAATAGTGTTATAAAAACCTCGGAGAATTCCAGTAAGATATCTTTAATCATTTCTAAGATACAACGGTTTAAAGGATAACCTAATAATTGGATAGTTTTTCACTTACACAATTTGGACAATTTAACTGGTATAAAACTTTTTTTTCTCGAGAATTGATTGATTTGTTCATTTTTTTACTGCTTATCAACCTTTCACGGGTTATTTAAAGCCAGAAAATATTTTCAAATCTTTCCTAAAGGTATTTGCGTGTAACTGACTATGAAGACCCCAACTGGATTTGGAACTTGGCTGTCCGTTATCCATTACACCACCCGCACATCCAAGCTTATAGCAGCTGGTATTCCTAAGTGGTCAACCATGTAAATACTGGCCAGGATCGACGTCGAGAATTGGCAATAAAAACAATAAAATATAATATTATATTTAATAATAATAAAGAATATTTATTTTTTTTCAGTCAATCAGTTATATGCCTTGCGTTAGGCGATCATTTATCTTTCGACACATGACTGAAAAGGCAGATTTTTTTTCCCACATTCGCTTGTCATTTCTTTTTGCGGTAGACCAGTTACCATCCAAGGCTATAGAGCCTGGTCTGTCCTACCATTTACCTATAGCTGGGGGATAAGAAGAGGATTCATACCTTTCCTAATGAATTTAACTGTAATTCGAACTCGGTTCTCCGATTCCTCAATCCGAGCTGCTATCCATTACCCCACCATATCGTTTATCTAAAATATTTTAAAGATGCATTAACCTACTAACCACACGATGAATGTTATGATCCTTGTTTGTTTGTTTTTTTTTTAAATTATAAGCTGTATAAGGTCTTTCTTAAATATGCATGTACTTTCGACTTTGCATTCAGTCATCTTCAGCCATAGAAATTATTTTGTTTTTGGTAAAATTCAGGTAGCATCCGAGACGAAAAAATATAATGCGAATCGAAATATGTTTTTTAAATGTGTAACTGATAGATAGATAGATAGATAGATAGATAGATAGATAGAACTTCAAAATGAAGAAATTGTAAGGCTGTTGAGTGATGGGAACACACCATTGGAAAGACTTACACTATTTATTTACACTGTTCGGTCTTTGGTTCTCATCTTTACTGTCACATTCACGACGTTTCGGTTGTTGTACGCTCCGGTCTTCTTCGAGTGTTATTTGCTGGAATTTCGAACCTAACCCTTTATCGAGTCTCCGGGGGTAGATTGTTATAAATTCCACGTATTGTGTCTTTGGATATCTCAGTTTTTTTTCTTCTCTCCTCTGATGCCCGGGATTGAACTCAAACAATTTTGCGTCAAGTCACCTTTTGGATCAATCAATCAACTCTTTCACCCACTGGGCCACATATTCGAAATTACAGTAAATATCATCCGAAGAAGGACGGAGCGTACATCGGCCGAAACGTCGTGTATGATGTGAACAACAGTCTGAACACTGTAAATAGTTACAATACCTCATCTCAAAATTTTTTTTTTTTAAGCAGTTCACCCCAAGCAAGGCGGGAGTGCCACTAGCAAGCAACGGGTTACAGAGGATTGAGAACAAGAGTAAAGAGGCGGGTTTGAGGAAATGATACCGAGAAGGACGAGGAACAAGTCAGGGTGTCAGATGTCGATTGACATTACTGTAGCAAAAAGAAGAGAGAAAAACAAAAAAGTGACGAGAGGGTTCGCCGGCAAACCAGCTGGTCTTCTTCGCCATCGGTCGCCTCAAAGAAATGAATTGCGAGACTTCTTTGCTCGGCCGTTACACCGGGCAGTCGTGAAACGGAGACCCAAATCAAACGCACCTACTTCAACCGCCTCTATGGTCTGCCAGTCTATTCGCACGTCTGACTCTGCTTCACGAAGTCCGCCGAAATGACTCGCCTTCTGCTGTGCTGCTGGCACCTCGCCTTTTTATGCTAGTCCGACACTGTTGAAATTTGCATTTACTGGTACAATCTCGTTTTGGACGAGACCGGCGCGTATGAATCGCGTCTTCGACAGCAGCCATGTTTCCTTTTGGATTTGTCATGCAAGCAAGACACGTTCGCACACGATTCGAGCTCCGTGGTAAGTCATCGCAATTACACTTGAATATTCGAAGATTATAGTAAGGGGAAGGGAGTTCCACAGACAGGAAGTGCGAGAGAAGAAGCTGTTAGACAGGAAGAGACGGCTACATTTAACCGTTTCAACAGTGAAAGGGTGAGACCGAGATGCCAACCTGGTAACTCGCTTAAATTCATGCAGTGAACCAGCGAAAGTAGCTCATCGGGAACAGTTGCCGTGAAAATACTTGTAGAAGAGACAGAGAGTAGCCACAGCACGTCTGTGGGAAAGCGATTGTAGGCTAGATAACAGGTTAGGACCTATCATATTGCATATTCGTCTCTGGATTTTGTTGAGGACCTCAAAGCGTAGAGCGGGAACACCAGACCACAGCAATTTTCCATGCAAGGACGATTGGTTGGTGTATAGATTTGAAGGATGGAATATAGACAAACATTGAAAATAATGGAAGAATTTGAACACATTGACAAAAGAAATCAAAAACGTTAGCAAGATAAAAATGAACAAATAAAAAGGATTTAAGAATGTCACAAAAATATTTGAGAAAAGCTAAAGGTAATAAATAAGCGAAGTTGATAACCCAAAAAGGAACTCTTTGAAGAAACTTGTGTTACCAGTGTAAACATAATATTAGGTTGGTGCAAAAATAATGACGTAAGAATGTTGTTTTTTAACGTTAAAAAATACGTCAAAAAACGACATTATTACGTCATTATTTTTGCACCAACCTAATAAATATACAGATATTAAGAACTTTGGGTAAAGGCATGAAAATTACCAAACTGTCGTCTTTAAGTAATTGTAATTCTATTAATGTCACACATTATGAAATGGACAAAGTCCGACAATTATTTTAAGACATTTTATGATTATACATTTTTTTATCGATACAAAAATGACTTAAATTAATTGTCGGAATTTGTGCATTTCATAATATGTAATATTTCCTTTCACAGTTTCCCAGCCGGTGCGCCCGGGCGCAGTAATGCGCCCTGAAAAGTAACCAGTTGCGCCCCAACTTAACAGAAGAGTAATTAATGAATTATTTTATATTTAAAAAGAAATTCTTATTTTTAAAATCTGGAGACTTCCATATCTAAGACTTTGTCATTTGATATTTTGAACTGGATGCTAAATTCATTAATCTTTAAGAAGGAGTGGATAATCCTTTCCCTCTTGTCTTCCTCAAGGGATTTGAACCAGTCATTATCGGCCTTTATAAAGAAAATAACAGATTCTTTATAAATCTCTTGAAATGGAAACTGTACCGGTGACCTTCTTTGGAAATGCTGTATTTCATAACAGGGTGCGTTGGATAAATTATCGTCTAAATTACGCAAATGTGAAAATAACACTGACACTCATTTTAACAGATATATTTACCAAAATTACATTAAAATATCTTGAAATACTAAAGTAAATTTATTCAATAAAACTGCCATTGGCTTCAACCACAGCCTCCAGACGATTTCAGAACCCCCTGTATCTCTTATCGACGCTCTGCTGGTTTAAGTTGGTGAACGCTGCCATAATACTTGCCTTCAGTTCATCTTTGGTGTTTGCTGGTCTTTCGCTCAACTACACCACACGCATAATAATCAAGGGGATTGCGGTCTGAGTAGTTAGGTGGACAGATGTGAGAGGTGATGTAGCCATAGAAATAGAAATTATCTGACAGCCATGATTGGGTTCTCCTGTTTGTGTGGCATGTTGCAGATACCTGTTGCGACACATAGTGTCATCCAGCAACCACCAGAGCAGCCATTAATTCTTTAAGGCACTTGATGTAAGGAATCCGTCTTTTAGGCCCTCTAGGAAGAATGAATGGAGGCATAACGTCACTATCACTCCAAACACCTTCGTAATAACTATTAGACTCATCCAACTCTCTCTGAATCCTCTGAACTGCCCTCAGATTTACACCCATATACTCTGAAATGTTCGTATTGGAACAGTCGGTGCGAATGCCAAGTATGCCGTTTCCGAGTATCTGGCGGAGTAAATTGCGTCATGGTGCTCTTTTTCTCACAGACGGCTGCGCAACTGACTCTGCTATACTGTGTAGTCGACAAAATCAAAACAAACAACACGCATGCGCTAAATTAAAAATATAAAATAGTGACAGTTTATCCATCGCACCCTAAAGGCAGATTATTCTTACAACTTAACGGACAAGATGTTTTTTTTTCCAAGGTAAAAGTGAAAAGCAACAGACTTTTAGCTAAAGCGTCTCTTCCTCTAAGAGAATGCTCCTTCAGTTCTTGGAAATCTGATTATTGCTCTTCTTGACACGAGAGTTTTGAAAGATAACAAATTAAATCCTCCCTTAATCTAATGTGAATTTTCTGGTGTCTCATTAAAGGAAACTTATATTAAAAGCAATATTCAAGCAAATAAGATGTCTGGAAAGTAATAAATCTTCTGTAGGCAAAGCAAAAATCGAAATAGTACAAAAATTTCCAAATTCAATGATTGAAAAACTGATGAAGGTTGTAGAATATCAAGAAGCTCATATTCATATGTAAAATAATAAAACAACAATTTACTCAGGTATATGGGATATGATGTTATATATATATATATTTCTGTTGTTTACAACTTTTGGATTTATTTATAAATTGAAAAATTATGTTATGTAATAAAACTTAACACTCCAAAAGGCGATATCAGTTTTTAAAAAAAGAAAACTAAGAATATATATTATAACCTTATGATATATTACTCATATAAATATACAGTGACGAACTGGCCAAGGTGACAGTTTGCCCGGCGGTAAGTTTGGTCGATGAATGAAGTGGGCCCCTATATCAAATACAAATGCAATAAAGAAGCGAAGATAGACAACAGTTACACAATAAAAAGGAATAAGTACTTTATAAAGTCATCTGCATACTATCAGTTACTCAAATCCAATTTGGGGGGGTATTTTCAAAGCTAAACATCAAAAACACAAGAATGTGGGGTTATGCATGATACTATCCATCGAAAAGGAATTTTTAGATGAATTGGAATCTATTGGAAGATTCGCACAATCTTCTGTCGAACACAAACGATTGCTCTTAATATAATTCACTGCATGCAATGCCTTATTGTGCTTTTGAACTGTTAATATCTAAATTATATATATATATATATATATATATATATATATATATATATATATATATATATATATGAACGAAAAATGACATGTTCATTATTAATTAATCATAGCTCAGGACCGGAAGTTCCCGAAGTTCATATATATATATATATATATATATATATATGTGTGTGATATATATATATATATATATATATATATATATATATATATATATATATATTGAAAAGTTCATATATATATATATATATATATATGTGTGAAAATATATATATATATATATTGAAATAAAAAGTTATATATATATATATATATATATATATATATATATATTGAAAATATATATATATATATATATATATATATATATATATATATATATATATATATATATATATATATGAACTTTTATTTCAATCTTCGTGAACTTCCGGTCCTGAGCTATGATTAATTCATGATGAACATGTCATTTTCGTTTATGATCGGTTTCATCACGACTCTTCTGTTAAGCTTGGAGAGTAATTATACATTCTTATTGCTCAAAGTAGAGTTCAGTAGTGTTATAAAAACCTCGTAGAATTCCAGTAAGATATCTTTAATCATTTCTAAGTTACAACGGTTCGAATTGGACAATTTTGCTGTAACACATGATAATTATACAAGAGCTTACAATCAGATATTTCTACACAACAAAACAAGATTTATAAAGGGTATGCCAGAGATACACACCAGAAATTCCTACCACAATGAGGACGCATTAGCTACAGGGCGCGGCAGAAATACCTCCGACATTTTAAACTGTCATCTTCGTTGTGCTAGTGAACTTATGCAAGTGACAATGGTGTTTTCAGCTAGATAATATCTTGTCATTTCTTTTGCGATACAGTC